CGTCGTGTGGTGCGCGTGTCTCTGTGCACACGGTGTTGTGCCCGTGGGTGCGTGTATGTTTGCGTGTGTGTGTGTGTGAGATTGTGTGTGTGAGATTGTGTGCGTGTGTGTGTAGTGGGGAGTGGTCGCGTGGCGGTTTAGCGGATGCTGCCTGCGCTACGAACCCGTTGACCCGAGTTCGATTGCCGCTCACGGCCAACAACGGTGACGATTATCTGAACCGGTCTTCGGCCTCCCCTAGGGCGACTCAAATGAGTGCACGGTGCGGTGTGTAAACATCGCCACCGGGGGAGACAAAGGCGGCCGGTGCGTGGTTGTTGGCCCACCCACCCCCTCGTGCGCCGATGCCGGCCTTCATAGCTGCTCGCAAACAGCACTTGCCCCAACACTCGTCTGAGGCTATACGGGTGGTGGCATCTTTGTCTCTGTATGTGGGGAGCGGCAGTGTGGTGGATACGGAACCCGGCGACAGGAGTTCGATTCCTGCCCGCGACCAACAGCGGTGACGGTTTTCTGAATCGGTTCTGGGCCTCCCTTGGGTCGACTCAGCGCTAAATTGAGAACGTAGGGGTGGGTGGGGGACGGACGGTGTGGGCTTTCTTAAAAACAAGTGGTAACGTGGGGACGTCACCTGAATCTCCAGAGACATTTGCAGATGTCGCACGCGTCCTCGCACTCGTTTGAAGTGGATTCATGCGAGGCCCTGCAACAATTCACCCACCTCGCGCTCCGACGGAGTGTGCGAGATTTACATTGGCAGCAATGCGATTGTGGTCGTGCGAGCGTCACTGAAAGATGAGCGTTTACTCACGTGGGATGGGATGGGGGCGCGGGAGGGAGACCGGAGAACACGGAGGAAACCCACGCGTGCGAGGGGGCAACGCTATATCCCACACAGCTCGGACAGACGACATTATTCTGCCTCCTCCTGGCGAGCCAGGGTGCGGCAACTCCTCCACGCGCACAGGCACCCAAGTTGGAACAGATGGAGATTAGTCCACACTGTCCTGTACCGCCGTCATTTGGCTAGTCCGATTATGGAAACTCCTTGACGCGAACAGCATTTACCCCAACAGTCTTGTTGAGGCTATACGGGGTTTCTGTATCTGGTTTTTTTGTGTGTGTACGCGGCATACCTGGTGTACTTGCACTAAACCAAAACCACACAAATCTGTGTTTGCGAGCACCCATTACAATAGTGCTGGCGACTCACGCATGCGTACGCACCCAAACGTAATTGTCGACGACATTGCCTCCACTGCGCGACGTGGTACAAATTTTAGGCTGAGTGGACCTAGGGGGATGACCCACGTAAGGCGATATCCAAGACAATTTTGAATCAGACCCAGTGCTTGGGATGGTTGGTGTACAGGGCGCTTCAAAACATTGCGACACTTCTGAGCATTCGCAACAACGCCACGAGAAATGCGCCTCCGGCGTTCGGAGACCACCTGGAGAAGATCCCAGGCACGCGTTGACAACGATGGCGAACAAGTGGAGACTACGCGCCTTTTTGCGTCATCTGGTCCAACACCATGTGAGACTAGGCTCTGAGAAAAGCTGTCTTGGGTGTAGAACAATCAATTTCAAGGACAGTGCATACATTATCAGAGTCGTGTTTTTTGTTTGCATTCCGACCGCAGGTATTGTGGTCAATGCAAACATGACTCCCTGTAAAATAGGTGTCAGTTTTGTTGCCAGATAAAAGGGTAAAAAAACAATTATCACCCTTTGAAGCTATTGACATACATTTGTTATCATGTTACTGTGTATTATCTGTTATTTTGCCATTTAAAACAATAGTCCCATATAAGTGTTAACATTGTTGTAAGCGCCATGTGTGTGTCTGTATATGTGTGGAGTGTGCTTCAGGGGGCAATTGGCGGAGGAGTAGTGGCACAATGATTAGCGCACTGCGTTTTATGAACCAATCCTGCACCCCCCCCCCGATCCCTCTTCACCAACTCGCAGTGAACGGCATGGTGAAGTATGACCAAACAATCTCCACGACTGACGCAGGCATGGTGAGGCTTTCATTGAGCAGTGGACTGACACAAGGGCTGTGATGTATTTCTCATTATGAGTAGATTGCACCATCGGGAGAAAACAAAAAGCCTATTCGTAAGTTTTTTCGGTAAAGTCACGTAGGTAAAAATTTAATAAAAGTAAAATAAAAAGTAAAAATCATGACGTTTCGGAGGCAACACAAGCTTCCTTCTTCAGGTGGAACCATCACAGCCCGACAGCTGTATCAAGTAAATGAGAGATTACAAGAGATACCACTCCGTGTTGCCTCCAAAACGTCGTGATTTTTATTTTACTTTTATAAATTTTTATTTTTATTTTTTACCTACGTGATTTTACCGAAAAAAACCTAAGAACATGAATCCTTGCAGTCACGAAAGCTTCAAATCTAGAACAAAAAGCCTGCATGCGTTTGGAAAAAGTGTGGGTGGGGGGGGAGAGGGGCGGAACATTTCAAACAAGCGCTCATTGATACGTGAACAACCTACTTGCCGTACTGCCTCAATGCTACAGCCATTGTCAGTCACCTTTGCTGCCCGCGCTGGTGGGTGTCTCACACACCACGTGGTCGTAATCCCCGCGTGATCCACCAACCTGCACCTCCAAAGCCGCGGACTTAGAGAGGCGCTTCACCACCGCTCCGGACGCCGCCGCGATCGATCGACGTCCCTGAGACTTGGCGGCAGGGCCCATTCGAGATCCGCCGACTTATTTCGCAAGAAGAAGAGAGACAATTAATGCGGCAGCGGACCTAACACGATGCTGTGTGCACAACTTAAGAAGCTAATCCCAAGGCCAACAATTGCACCTTCCCTAACCCCAGGCACCAAGCCTCAACGCTAACCCCACACCGAGACTCCGTCCTCGGCTAAGACCACTCGCATTCATGGCCGTGGAATCGCAGATGCTCCGTTTTGTCTCGTAATCCGAAGGACCAAGTGTTGTTCGCGAGCACCTATTAACGTCGTTCCACGCTGCGACATGCAGGGGTGGTCCGGTGCATCATCACTCGCGCCCGCCGCCTTTGTCTTCCGAGAGCTGATTTATTTTTCTTCACATCACCCTGGCGTGCCGGGTATTCATTTTATGCTGAACAGATCCAGAGGTCGTCTGGGCACACAGCTTTATTACTGCCAGTTGCCGCCGGCAAACGTTCTCGCTAACCCACAAGAACGAGCACGTGTCCACGTCGCTCTCTGTCAATCAGCGGCTGCACGAGTGCCTCCCCACACACTCTGATGCGGGTCGTGGGGGTGTTCACGCCATCCTCCACCACACCGGTGAGCGTGCGGGATGGCGATGACAGGGGGAGAAGACGCGGGAGGAGAGAGGACAGTCCAACAGTGGAGTCCGCTCAACTGCCCCACTGCTGCCCACAACGTGGTCAAAGACCAGCAGACGCCAATGACAACCCGGCACGCGCCGGTGACCGCCCATCCAAGCTCTATCCGGAAACTATCCAGGCTCAGACCCGCTGAGCTTCCCAGATGTGATGAGACCGGGCGCATCCTGGGCCACTCGGTCACAGGCAATGACGCCACTCTCAAAATATCGCCCCAAATAGGAACACCATTCTATACGCCCAAACCTATCCCTTGCGATAATGCTTTCCGTATTTTAGCCTGAACACCAGCAATTGTAATTGTTGGTAATTATTAGGTAGTTTTGATTATATAGTTCTAGCTTTAACCTGAAAACTACTTTTGCTTAATCCTGTCCCTAACATTAACACCAAGTCCCAACACCAAGCACGGCCACAAATACTGACCCATAAACCGAGCACGACTACCTATCCTATCCCACCATAAACCTTAATATTGACCCATCAGCCTAACACATGCTTTCCCATTTAATTGCGTGCAGACAGACCAGCTTCTTTTGTTTGTGGCCGAGTCGAGGCATGTCATAGAACAATTAACGGGTGGCTTCAACAAAGTGGTGCTTGTGTTTTGTACCCTGGAGACATGAAGGGCTGCGTGGCTCACTGATAGTGTGTGTTGACTGTGAGCAGTGCCCTAACCACTGTGCCACCCATCCCATCGCTGGTCATGACTGTAAACGCTGCCTCTACCAATAACCCGATCGCTAACCACATCCTTACCTCTCCCTAACATTATCACCAACCTCGACTCCTAACACTAACACCCGGCCTCTACTCGCAGACGGAATATTAATCGTTATCTCTAACGTCAGTCCTAACCTGTAATCCCTAAACGTGACACTTGTCAACACCTAACCCTCATCGTAACATCGTCTCCTAACCCAAAGCCCAAACTTTAACCCCAACCTCGACTACTAATTATATCCTCTACTCCTGCCTCTTGATAATAAAACCATAATAAAATATATTCGTAACCCTAATCCCAACCTCTACTCCTATTGCTAATATTGGCCCTATAACCTCGACTCCGAGCGCAATTAGCCCCGACCTCTCATCCTAACCCCTATATGCAAATTACATCCCCTACAGACCCTCCCTCCCCTCGCTCCCCTCCCTCCCTCCCTCTCCTCCATCCCTCCCTCCCGTTGGTGTCACGATGCATTATCTCTCTCGCTCTCTCTTCCAGCCTCTGCCTATTAACGCCGTGTTGCATTCAGCACATTTTAGTGCCGGACACGATTGTAGCCCATAAAGGCAAATGCGAGAGGAAGGGACGTGGCGGGGAGGGGGGGATGCAGGATGGGGTGCACCCCAAAGAAAGCCGTCGCTCTCCGTGGCGTCAGGTTCGCTCCCTCCTTGCAGGTCGTGCCGTTACGCCAGACAGCGAACGAGAGATTTGGCACTGGTCTGAAACAGCATTCAACCCTGTATCCTCCACCATCCTCTTCAATCCTTGCATCGCTCCTCCCCATTTGACTTTGGTCTGCCTCCATCCCTCCCTCCCTCTCACTCCTCCCTCCCTCTCCCCCGTTCTTTCCCCCTCCCTCTCTCTCTCTGCCGTGTGCACCGCGCATTCATTCGCACATCATCCAGGCTCGCGAGAGAGCGGCCGAGACGAGAGCTAGAGAGAGAGGAGAGAGGAGAGAGTCGGGACCCCTTTGCATTATAAAGCCACCGGTAAGGGAGGATAAAAACCCTAATCTGCGATAGCCTATGTTTTCACACACACACACACGACCGTTATCAGCATCAGCAGCAGCCTCATCAGCGTAGGAATAATCATCGTAAGACGCAATTGGTAAGAGCGGGTGCACGGGCAGAGAGAGAGAGAGAGAGAGTCGGGGAGCAGAGACGCAAGGACGTACTGTGTCGCGCGCATCACCGCGGCCAGAGAGCGCACGTGTGTCGAGTGAGAGGAAAGAAGAAGAGAAGCGGAGAGAGACACGAAGGGATAGAGGGGAGAGAGAGGGGAGAGGGACACACGCATCTGCTGCCTGAGAGCGGTTGCCTCGCCGGAGCCAACGGGGGATTATGACCGGAACTTCGGATGATTCTCCGTCGCGGAGCGGCGCACCTGAGCCGGTACACCCACACACGTGGAGATGCACACGTGTGCACTCCCACACACGTGGAGATGCACACGTGTGCACACCCACACACACCTGTGCAGATACACACGTGTGCACACCCACACACACCTGTGCAGATGCACACGTGTGCACACCCACACATACCTGTGCAGACGTGTGCACACCCAGCCGCGCATATAGACCTGTACATGCATACATGCGCACACGCACCTGTGCTTACCTACTAAGTATGTACACGTAAATGTACATACTTTGCATTCGTATATGTGCATGCATACCGGTGTGTATATACCCGTGTAACCATACCAGCGCATACATGTTTTCACTTACCTACCATCACCATCAATCATGAGTTCTCCACTGCTGGATACCTCGCCCACACACACTCGTGTACGTACATGCCTATCCGTATGCAAACGCACACGTGCATGTGTATACTCGCCAATGCATATTCAAGACTAAAGATTACCGTACGGTCTGAACAGACCGTTAGGGCAAGTGCTGTTAGCGAGCGCCTATGAAGACCGGTACGGACAGCGCCCGAGGAGGGCTGTGTGGCCGCTACCACCACGCTCGGCCGCCTTTGTCTCCCTGTCGCTGACGTTTACACATCGCAATGAGCACTCGTCTGAACGAAACTGGTTCAGATTGTAACTCGTGACCGATGTTAGCCGGGGCCGATAATCGAACCCAGGTCCCTCCACACACACACACAAAGACAAAGATCCCCCATATAGCCTTAACAGACTGTAGGGGCAAGTGCTGTTAGCGAGCACCTATGAAGGCCGGAACGGCACACGAGGGGGTGGGTGGCCAGCACCACGCCCGACCGCCTTTGTCTCCCTAGTGGCAATGTTTACACACCGCACCAGGTACTCATTTGAGGCTGAGTCGACCTAGGGGAGGCCCGGGACCGGTTCAGATAATCGTCACTGGTGTTGGCCGTGAGCGGGAATTGAACTCGTGTCGCTGGGTTCATAGCGCAGCGCGCTAACCGCTACACTACCGCTCCCCACCACACACATATATATACACACACAAACGTGCACACACAAGCCAATATACCCATCCTGTCGGACGCCCTCAAGGTCAGTGCCAGTCTAGGTGCACCCAGTAACCCGACCGCGCATCTCTCCGGGATTCGCGCCTCATTGTGGCTCCGGCTACACGACGCGTCACCGTGTCCCCGCGTTCCCGTGTCACCGTGACTCTCCATGTCCTCGTGTCCCCGTGACTCCCCCGTGTCCCCGTATCCCGGTGATTCCCACGTGTCTCCGTGACTCCCCGTGTACCCGTGACTCCCCAGTGTCACCGTGTCCTCGTCACTCTCTATGTCCCCAGCGTCCCCGTGACTCTCCATGTCCCCGTGTCCTCCGTGACTCCCCCGTGTCTCCAGGTTACCGTGTCAGAGCGTCTCTTCCCGTATCCGTGCTTCTGCTCTCCCACGCGCCTACTCGCCCCCTTACTCCGTCTCTGTGCACCCGTGCGCCAATGTACCCGTGTCTCTGTCCGTGTCTTGGTATCTCCACCATCTCCCTCCCCCGTGTCCCCGTGTCACCGGTTCTCTGTGTCTCCCGCCGCGAATCGCGCGGAGGAGCGGTACCTTGGAGAGCGCACAGACGCGGAGGTGACTGCGCAGCCACCAACTCGATGCCCAACCCCAACCCTAACCCCAACCCTAACCCCAACACACGTCGGCAGCATCTACACCGCGTGCTGTTTATTGACCAGCTCTTGACTCTGTCGTGACCTTGTCAGCTCTCCTGTCTCTCTCCTCCTCCTCCTCCTCAATAGATCTCTCGTCTCTACCCCCCTCCCCACGTCGCTCACCAACTCTCCTGACACTCTCCCTACATCTCACCAGTTAACTTGTTTTGCTCGCTCTCTCGCTCTCTCTCCCCTCCCCATCGCGCTCGCTCGTTGAGTCTCTCGACAATCACATCAACTCTCTTTCTTCCCCTCTCCACAATCCTCACAGCTCGCTATAATTCTCCGACAACCACCGCCACACCATCTTCATCTCTCTCACCATATCTCTTTTCGTTTCACGAGAACGCTATTTTCTCATCTCTATCTCACTGACTCTCTGGGTATCTCTCCAACGTCGGCTATTTATAATTTTACATAACTCTATTTCGAATCTCTGGTGACAAAAAAAAAGAAATGCGTTATCGATGGTGTGCAAGGACGACTTTTAACATTAACACATTCGCATGATGGGAACACGCATTCATGGCCTCTAGTGGCTGCAGATCCCGAGAGCATATATTTCCAAAGTAGTGTATCTTGGAAATCTCTAGGGAATTGTCTGTCCTTAATTGTACGTGTTAATGAATGCAGACACCGACAAAATAAGGACACTCATTATATTTTATCGGTGTAATTCTATGTGTGTGTGTATGTAATGCAACAAAGACACAGATTTGCCGTGTAGCCTTAACAGACTGATGAGGCAAGTGCTGTTAGCGAGAACTTTGTAAGGCCGGCACGGCACGCGAGGGGGTGGGTAGCCAGAACCACGCCCAACCGCCTTTGTCTCCCCAGTGGCGATGTTTACACACCGCACTAGGTACTCATCTGAGGCTGAATCGACCTAGGGGAGGCCCATGACCACTTCAGATATTCGTCACTTATGTTGGCCCGGGAGCGGAAATCGAACTCGGACCGCCGGGTTCGTAGCCCATCGAGCTAATGGCTAAATGATCGCTCCCCAACAAAGACAAAGATCCCCCAAATAGCCTTAATAGACTATTGGGGCAAGTGCTGTTTGCGAGCACCTATGAAGGCTGTATCGGCACACGATGGGGTGGGTGGCCAGTACCACGTCCGGCCGCCTTTGTCTCCTTAGTGGCGATGTTTACACACCGCATTAGGTACTAATTTGAGGCTGAGTCGACCTAGGGAAAGCCCATGACCGGTTCAGATATTCGTCACTGACGTGAGCGGCAATCGAAGTCGGGACGCCGGGCTCGTAGCGCAGCGCCCTAACCGCTACACCACCGCTCCCCGCACATAACACAGCGCACTCGCTCACACGTGCACAACGAGACAGACACAGAGAGAGAGAGACGCGTACACAAGGCAGCGAGAGCTCTCAAGTCGCGGGCTCTCTCCGCGATCGTCTAGCTTCCATCCACGTGCTCGACATGAATGGGAGATGGCCCCACTTTAAGCGAATACAAAAAAAACAGGCCGCTTTACTAAAGCCACCTACCTCCTTCACTGCGAATTTTTTTTGTAAGATAAATAAAGACATGAAATGATACAAGAGGTCCGCAAATATTTGACCCTGCATTGAGTGGGGGATTTTTTTTGTGTTTTTTTTAATGGAGGTAAAATATGTTGTCCACGTTCCATTTGATCACATTCCGGACATCTTTTCGTACAGAGCATCTCTCGACAATTTTTTTTCTCTCTCTCTCTCTCTCTCCCTTGGGCATCATGAGCTCAGTGACGCCACATTTGCTCCATCCTCCGCTCGTCTCATCATCACAAATCAGCCGTTTCCTTCCCCTCGCTCGCTACAATGTTTACGCACAGCATCGGGTACAGTGCTGGATGAATTCAAGGCTGAGTCGACCTAGACGAGGTCGACGACAAGTTTTGATTGTATCCATTCATGCCCTAACCGTGGCTACACCAGTAGTAGTAGCTTCATCGCTAGGTTTAATATGTGCAGAATGTTTTTCTATCAATAAAAATTAAGCAATTTTACGGTGATTTTCAGATCTTTGTAAATCCAATTCCGGACGAGAGCCTCCCATCCCCACGCCGTGCCCATCTTTGGGGATTCTTTGACCATACTTCACCGCATTGTGCAATGCTGGTTGGTGAAGTGGGTTGTTGGCTGGGTGGGGAGGAGGTCAGATATCACTCGCCACTGATGTTAGCCGGGGGATGGAAATGGAACTCGAGTCGCCGAGTTCGCAGCGCAGTGCGCCAATCACTGCGCCACCCCTCCACCGCCGGTAAGGTACGCAGCGTGGACCGTTACAGGGTTGCTAAATGGTAACCAGTAACCGTTTTCGAAACTGAGAACCGGTTCAAAAAGTCAGGAATCGGCAATCGTCTCCAATGAAATGTTCGTAACGAATGCGCCGATTGGCACACGCGAACGTGCGCGTAAGTCACCACATGCCACACTTGCCCTTGTTTCTCGGTCAAAAGTTAAAGGTGCAAGCCCTGCAATTTCTGTCTTGCGGTGGCAATATTTTGTTAACTACTTCACCTGGTATACATGAGGTCGTGGGTTCGATCCCTAGGCTGATGCCTGTATTTTTTAATGTTCTCCCTGTGGTCGCGTGGATTTTTTTCTCCGGGTCCTTCCGGTTTTCCCCTCCGCATTTAGAAACACGCGTTTAGAGTATTTGACTGCTTTCAATTTCGACATGATGAGCCCGCTTCCTTGAGCTATTATTTGTGGCCAGGTCTCTTCTGAAAGAGAGCTGTATTGCTCAGCGGGCATCACCTAGAAAAATAACAAAAAATTGTTCAATCGTTAGTTTGCTCGCGCGGCTGCTGGCGGAAGAGCCTCCACTAGAGGGAGCTCTACAGTGGTATTTGGTCTACTCTTCCCTGCTGACCAGACGTGTTGGAAGTGGTGGGAGTGCTCACACGTTACCCCCACAACACGCGATCTGCCGCTGGAGCAACTAAATGTAGCGTGTCCACTTATACTGCTTAGATGGACAAACGGCAGGGGGTGGTGGGGGGTGTATTTTAGTCGGCGTGGAGAGATGAATCGACGCCCTCTGGATTGCGAGGTCCAATCTGCCCCCCCTCCCCTCCCCCCTCTCCCTCCTAACCTCCCTCCCTCCCTCCCCTCCCTACCCACTGATGAATGCGAGATCCCAAACAACACGCGCCCTGCACACTTATGGGACGCGCCTTCTGGGAATTGTCGCATCTCTGTGTTGATGTGTTTATTGCCCCGAATGCACCCCTCCCCCCACCATCCGCCCCCTCCCCCCACCATCCGCCCCCTCCCCCCAC